CTGGGTTCCGTCGAACCCAGCAGATCTGGGTTCGATGGAACCCATTTGCTGGGTTCAATGGCCTGGCCCGAGGAAGAAAGAAGAGAGAGGAAGAAGACAGAATTTTTTTATTTTTATTTTTTAAATATAAATAGTAATCATGTGAGTTGGCATGAAAAAAAAATCCACATCATGAAAAAAAAATCCACATCAACACGTTTTCAATTTGTTTTTGCCACGTCATCAAAAAAATAATAAAAAATGCCACATGAGCGAGTTAATGATCGAAATTAACAGAAGGACTAACGGAGTGCATTTCTTAAAGTTTAAGGATCAAAAAAGTGCAAAAAATTGTTGAGGGACCAAAAATGTATAACTCACTAAAGTTGAGGGACCAAATTTAATATTTAACCAAAAATAAATATTAATTTTAACATTAATGTCTAGTGAATTAATTTAATTGGTTAGTTGTTGAGATTAAAATCAAATTTTGTTTTTTCTATGTAATTTAATTATTAAAATATATATTAAATGCATTCTTAAAAACACTTTTTTAGAAATTTATAATTTAAGAGTTTCATTAAAAGCTCATATTTTATATTACCAAAATAATTACAATATGTATTAAGTAGACACTTCTACGTACGTAGTGGTATGAACTATTATCGATTCAGTATTACATCTCTAATGACTGGAGAAAAAAGAAAGGTCAATTACAACTGAATGGAGGGAGTAATTGGATGTATAAATGTTCAGATAATACTAGAGTGAACAATTACAGATATTGTTAATTATTCTCTTGCCAGTCTTGTGTCTAGAATTCACTCTTCATTATAGGAGGAACCTTTAAATGTATCTCAAAACTCTAATGTTACCTTATATTCATTTCATCATTTTCCGATTGTATTATAAACAAACTTGAAGCATATGCATTACTTTCTATTTCCTTCTTGTTTAATTTTATTATAATAATTTTTCATTTGGATTCTTAATTAATGCAGTAAAGTTGTCAAAATTACCAACAGAAATTTGGAAAATAACACCTATTATTTACCCTACCAAGACGGGCAGGGCGGAACCCAACATTGCTCTGTCCAGCAAGAAGCACAATGACATCTCCCATTAAGGTTAACAGACATTCAAAAATTGCATTATGTTCCCTTCAGTCTTCACTCACACCTCAAAGCTAGGGGGGATAATTTTCCTTGCAGTCCTTCCTCACATATCGCCAACATAGGCCTCTCATCATGTGGAACCCAAGTCTCATAGGCGAGGATGTTGGAGTAGGGGTTAATGTTCGCAAATTAAGGCGGTTCTAAGGTATAAATCTCATTCCTTTTTCATTAGATGACATGTTTTGCAATTCTTGTGTTTATCTTTTTGTTTTTTTTCTTTTCTTTTTTTCTTTTATGTTTGGTTTGAAAACATCAACATTTTAAACTTATGCAACAACAACAACCCTTATCCTAACTTTTCTCCTGTAGAAAAATCATTCCTTTTTGATGTTGACACTCCAAATACTTCCCTTGTTGCACATGCTTATTTTCCTCCTTTTCTGTTCATCTATTAGATTATGGAAGGTATTTTATGATGATAAAGACTGGCCAGGTAGATAGCTGCTTGCTAAAGAACCCATAATCAACCCTGATGCTGAAGACCTTGAGGTTAGTTAGTTAGTTCTAGCAACTTTAAAATTATCTCCACAACAGATTGATATTCAGTATGATAGTCGGTTTAAGTACTTAACGAATTGTTTGTCATACCTGGCCATATTTTACATTCTGAACTGCTTTGTCCAAAATACTCATTCTTGGAAGATATTCCAAAATCTTGCAGCTAATATTTGGAAATGTGGAGAACAAGGCAGGGCAGAACCCGACGTTGCTTAGCCAAGCATCTGGCATGTTTTCTTCATTAAATCGATTCAAGAAAGCCATTTCAAAGTAATGTTCCGTGTTCACAGATAGTAAAGCGGTTTTGACAACAATGTATTTGAACTTATAAGGTTCTCTACATGTAGTTGTGGGGTAATCTGTGTGCAGTTTTGTGTAAGAAGTAAATATTTCATTCTATAACCTCACCTCAAACCTTCTCATATTCTGATATATTTCTATGTGGTCTTTGGTTCTGAGTTTTCAATATGATGATGAATGATCTAGGACAACGTCCGGCCAAGGAAATTCAAACCCTTTAGAAATATTGAAAACATAGAGCAATGGCACACTGTGATTATACTGTACGAGGTATAGCTTTGGACTAAACTATTATAAGGACGTTCAGTATGCTTCAAAATCAAAACAAACCATTTTCATAGAATGTCTATGAGAATAAGATGGTTTTAATAACATCAAAAGTAGATAAATCCTGCAGCAAGAGAATGATGTATTTAGTTCTCCAAATACAAGGATTGAAATAGCGTAAGGTAGGAACTAGCTAGAACTACTTAAAAATTTTCTTTTAACATGGACTTTAAAAGAGGAGCATACATAACAAATACCATTTACATGGATATTAAGCCAAAATAAATAAAAATTAGAGATCAGAGATCAAAACAGGAAGAGATTAGAGATCAATCAAAAAATTAAAAACAAACAGAGAAGTACACTTTATTTTCAAAAAGTTTCATTGACATCAGCATTGGAGATGGCCGATTCAGTTTTAGACACAACGTAGAAAAGCTTAGAAAATGATACACCTGCCATCTTCTATGAGTCTACAGCTCCTATAGAATCCCAAATTTGAATTAAAGAAGATTTTGGTGATTGTCCGTTTTAGTCTTGATCAATGTAATAGAGAATAAACCTGTTATCCGACACATACCCTTCATCTAACATGAGTTCGAACAGCTCCTGCAAAACTCCATAAATTGCCCCAGCTTGTGGATGCTTTCTGTCGCCAACAACAAAGCTATGAACTTTCTTTTCAATCTCGATCCAACTTATATCAATTTCTTTCACCACACCCATTTCCTTCATTCTCTTGATGATCCTAGCTCTGTCTTTCCATTCACCAACAGAAGAATATATGTTGGCCATTAAAACATATGGCACTGGGCTCTCTAGTGTTGCCAAGCGCAACTGATCAGCTGCATATTTCCCAATTTCAGAATTGCCACGGAGGCTACAGGCCCCAAGTAGGGCTTGCCAAACATGAACATAAGGCTTCATAGGCAATCCTTCAATAAAAGTCTTAGCTTCCTTAAGGAGACTTGCCCAGCCTGACATGTCGACAACAAAAGCATAGTGCTCTGTCCTGGGATATATTCCGTGAACTTCAAACATGGATCTCAAAACTCCATGCCTTTTTCAACAAGGCCAACATGGCCACATGTGTGGAGCGAAGAGAGAAATGTAACATCAGTTGCTTGAATGCCTTCTGATACCATCTCTTCATATAATTGTTAAGCTTTAGGGCCATCCTCATGATGCGCAAAAGCTGCAATCATGGTGTTCCATGATATATGGTTCCTTTGAGACATTCGATGGAAGACTTTGATCGCCTCCCCTAAATCTCCACAGTTGTAGTACATGTTGATGAGAACATTGCTGACAAAGGGGTTAAAGTCAAATCTTCTTTTGATAATTAACGAGTGAAGTTGCTTACCCAAAGAAGTATCCTCACCACATACCCCAAGAATGGCTGACAACATGTTTGGTTCAATCTGGATTCCTTCCTTGAACATTTTCACAAGAAAACTGTATTGCTTCATCCTCAAATCCATTTTGTGCAAAACTCAGAAGGATTACAGTCATGAAAACCTCATCAAGCTCTTGAACAGAATCAAAAATCTGCCACGCATCTTTAACATTTCCACATTTTGAATACATATCCACGAGAGCACTCTCAATGCACAGGTCAGATTGAATCCCCAAATTTCACGGAAGGTCATGAATTTGGCATCCCTCCTGAAGTGTCTGCAGACCAAAACATGCCACCAGCGAGCTCATATAAGTCAAACTATTCGGAACCACTGATCCCAAATGCATCTTGGCAAACAATTTCAAACTGTCCTCATATAAATGATTTTGAGCAAGACCTGAGTTACCGCTGTCCAAGTAATAACATTTCTTTCAAACACCTCATCAAAAAACTGCCTCCCTGAACTCAAACAGCCACATTTAAAGTATGATGTTATCAAAGCATTTCCCAAACTTTTCACCCTTTCATATCAATTCAAAACCGCTAAGCATTGTATCATCCTGTTGACGTAATAAAACTCTTCTCTATCACCAGCTAATAAAATTGTTGTGAGAGTTGCTTGATCCAAACGATAAAGCTCTGAGCTTTGCATTCTTTTGAAGTAGCCAAAACACCCCTCAAGATCCTCATTCCTCAAAAAACCAGATATCCGTGTAACCCATGAAATGGTATGTCTAATAGGCATTTCATCAAATAACTTAAGTGCATCACTTTGATCCCCACATTTTTTATAAACAGAGAGGAAAGAGTTCCATATGAGGAGGCCTTCATTGAAATATCGGGATTCTGAGGGTGAAGGAATTCATGGCTTTTGAGAATGGAGGCATGGAGAGAGCAACCCAGTCCCAGACGGATGAAGCCTTCTCCTCCACAAATTGCTAAAAGGATGCTCACCCCTATACGGTTGAGGATGAATCTCGAGATTTCGGAAGATGTGTATTGGTAGATATGTTGGGTTTTGAAGAGCAAGGAAAGCCATGAGGGAATTTGGGGAGTTAATTTCTGAAATGCCCATGTCGGTTTCATCCATGAGCATGAGAGAGATCCCAACACATTTGTTTTTGTCTTGTGGGGAAAGGTCGGTTAAAGAATTATTATTATTATTGTAAAGAAAAGGCCACTTTTCTAGCAACAACAATTTATTTATTTAATGAAAAAGTAGTGTTAAATTTTATCTAATAATTTCTTTTTCCCTTTGTTTAATGCCCCCACTCTAAAATGAGAAATGATGTTGGAATAATTTTTTTATATTATTTTTTATATAATTTAATATATTATTTAAATAATTTATTTTTTTAATAATATAAAATTTATAATATTAAATTTATTTACTTATTTAATAATAAATAAAAATTATATCAAAAAATAATATAAAAAAATTATCCTATAATACCGCCTTTAGAAAAGTTAGCTGTACTCAGCCGCTCAACATTTTTCCTACCAATTTCATTTTCTTTCCTTTATAGTTTGCATTGACAAATGGTGTTGCAGCTCGGATTGTTTAATTTAGCTGTGCAATTTGCTATGTGATTGGAATTTTCTTTTATTCTCAGCTAAATTTTTGCAATTAAAAGATTAGGTTTCTTCACATGGAGGAAATGACATAAACTATTTGATTTTCCTTTTTTTCTTTTTTTTTTGATAATTTTAAAGTTATAATATTATGTGATATTTATAATTATATTATTTTGATATTTGAAAGTTATTCTTTTACATTAATTTTTTAGAGTTAAGACTTAATAACTTCTATTAATATAAGCTTCTCTTGATTAGTGGA